GGCTTTTAGAGTCTGGACAAAGAAGAAAGAAAAATCAGAATGCGTGAATGCGTTCTATTTGGCATCTACCTTTAATCTATATCCGCTACTTACATATTGAAGTGATTGACTAAGACTCTTCTGGATGAACGTAAAGTCTCCCTATCTCTTCAACCAGAGAGATAGAATGGTTGCTGGGCATATAGCCTCTGAGGATCCTACTCGTAATCAACGATTCCAAATATTCAACGTCATGACAATTACAAAGTGCTGAAATACATTGTAGTGAGAAAATTAACAAAGCATGAGCAAAGTGATTACAACAACACTAGAATGAGCAATAACTAGAGTTGCGGTTTACTCCCAAGCGAAAAGATAGACAAAAAATTGAGAAAGAGTGAGTGAAACTCACTTTCAAACATGAAAATCTAAAGTACAAAGTGATGAAATACATTGGAGAAAGAAAATTGACAAAGCATGAGCTAAGTGATGACAACAACACTAGAATGAGCAAGAACTAGAGTTGCGATTTACTCCGAAGTGAAAAAATTGACAAAAGATGGAGAAAGAGAGAGTGAAATTAATGCTGGTGCATGGAAATTCCATTTGCAAAGTGGCGAAATACATTGGAGTGGGAAAATTGACAAAGCATGAGCAAGTGATGACAACAACGCCAAAATAAGCAAGAACTAGAGTTACGATTTACTCCCAAGTGAGAAGATGGACAAATGATGGAGAAAGCGTGAGTGAAACTCACCCTCATGCACAAAAACTCAAAATACAAAGCGACGTAATACATTGGAGCAAGAAAATGGACAAAGCATGACCAAATTATGACAACGACACTAGAATGAGCAAAAACTAAAGTCGCGATGTCGGGCGCGGCAGTCCCACACCCAGACGTAAAGTAAATTTGGTGTCGGACCTCACGGTCGCATCACGCAGGAGTTTCGAAGCGTTTCAGCCAAAGACCAACTCCGACCGTGCGCGCGAGCTATACCTCTCGTGGTCCCCTGCGACAGGACAGAGACTCTGCGACGTACAACTTACCTCCACCTGCGGAAGCTGTCACCATCCCTTAGGTGGGCGTATCCCTGCTGAGCTACTGACTCACGTGCGAAAGCTTTTACTTGCAATCGCAGAGGTAAGCCAGCCGAGAGCGTTTGCTCGATCGCCGTAGCATAGGCATACACGCGGTTGAACGCCTAAGACCGACCCGTATACGCGTCGGGCATCGGGGCGCTGATCTCTCGGACCGACTTACATATCAGGTCGACTCGACTGACGAACATTCGCTCATACTATGCTTTGCCTATAAATAGGTTCAGTAAGTATGATTCACAACCTAGCTCCTTTTCCAAAGCAGGATCCCTTCAATGCTTGAATTATCAGGGGTTGCGCATAAGACATACACCCATCCTACCTAGTGATTAAGTTTATTCAGCATATGCCTTTATAAAAACCCCTTTGTCATATCACACATACATATGGAATGAAATGACTGAATAATTAGGCAAGGAGATGTCATAACACATTCACATAGACAGTCCGAGTTCATCAAGGGAAAATATAGGTTATTGACCTTTCAAACATGTACAGATGAAATAAACATGAAATGAACAAGGTTTTTTCCTTAACAATAATCCTAATCTGTTTAACATCAGGGAAAAACGTTAGGCTGGGTACTCAAACCAAATGTATAAAATCGTGCATTGATCGGATATCTGGATCAAGGCCAAGGATAGCGTAAGCTTCTCAATGGGTTGCAGTGAATAACTTAGCTGGTCATTTTACTGACCTACAAACAGAATCAATCACATTACACAATCCTAACAGAGTCAACTTTTTATTCACTTTCACCCACATTACACTTACGCTTACAACCTTTCCGCTAAACATCCCCTTTTTCGACTTAGTCATTCAGCCTCATCTGACTTTAGCCATTCAAGGATCCTTTTTGACCAAACACAGACCTTTTAGACAATAGTCCCGAAAAATCAGAACTTCAGTGCAAAGGTCGATACAAAGTGTGGGTGTCGAGGATGAGTGAGGGTTGAGTTGGCTAACCGACCTGTTACCGTAAGGCAACAACATGTAGTCTTGAAAGTTAAGGTGACCTGCAATCACACAGGTCAACACGGTCTCAACACGTCTTTGCTATCGACATGATCCTATCTGAAGTTCGATGTACTGAACTTCATTTTAGTCGGGAATAATACTACATCGATATAACTCCCTCTAGGCAGACTCTCTAACCTCTTATCAGACCAATCTCTAGAGATAGTCGTCTAAAGGAAGAGAAGTATAGAGCTAACATCACTAATATTTCCTGCCTTATCATACGATTTAAGAACATGCACAAACAAAACATCATCAATCTTATCTAGAATAAAATCAAAAGATTGATATCAATCAAGAGGTTAAGGTAGCAGGACAGGTCACACAGGCCTACATTTCTTTTACCTCCATCTTATTAGAGTCAAACAGTGAACCATATCAGTAAGTTACTTTTTGCGAGTTT